CACCGGGGGGGCTCCCCCCCCCCCCCCCCCCCCCCCCCCCAAATCCAGTCAGATCCTCGGTGTTTTCCGTCTTTCGGTGGACCTATGTCGATATACTCTTCCTTTGGCAGATATATTGTGTCATATATGGGCTGACTTTGGTCGTGGCTCATCTCGCAGGGCTGCTCTATGAAATGTTGCAACTTGGTCATGGTAAATCCATTGCTCATTGGTGTGTTGTGGCCTTGGGTGAACTAGGTAGCGCTCTCTATGTCATGTCCCAGATGAAGGGTAGCGCTCTCTATGTCATAGTCATATATTGTGCTTCCTTTTGCGGCTTTGTTTTAGTTTTTTCAATTTTGGTATAGTTTGTTCAATAAAGTCTATAAACTCTATGAGTTGTCTATGTTAATTTTCTTTCATAATTCCATAAACTTGGTTGAGTTTTGTTGGGTTTTGTAGTCTCTTGAGGAGAATCATACTGATTAGCTACATGGTTTGTCCTTTGCAATTGGACTAGATTCAAGACAACTATGATAGTAGATAGAGATTTTAGAAAAGTTATTTTTGGGAGTGATTCTCTCCAAATCGTTTCTGATTTTTGGCTGGCTCATGTCACTGGAAAAGGTTTTGCCCATGTTTGCTGTATTGCTATTGGGATGACTTCCTTTACAGTCTTTTTCCTTTGTACTCTTATTTTAATTTGGTCTAATCTATAGCTTTATATATATATATATATATATATCGTTTGACTTATAATATTAATCCCAATTAATATGGTAAATAGGGCTGAATCAACTAATATAGATTAGTTCTTTGGCCCGACCCATCGCTTTTCTTTGGGTCATGCTAGAGAGACCACATTATTAGACGACCTTATAAATCATCTCCCTAATAGAGATGGAGTTTATCAATACAATGGGGCCTACCTTTATTAGGCCATCTCCAACCATATTAGGGTTAAACTCATATTTCCACCCTCTAAAATACAATTATTCATGTATTTTTTTTTTCTTCCAACCTTGCAGATTCATAATTTGAGTTCACAACTTTATTAAATTGTTTAAGAATAATTAACCCATATTTTTTTTATTGTTAATTTTCCTTGACATTATTTTTATTTCAATACTCGTGATTTAATTTTCTAAATATTTTAACCTAAAAAAATTAAAAATCCAAAACATAATAGAATTTCACTTTTTTAAAATTAAAAAAACAGCAAATCAGATTTGTTTTGAAAATATAGCTGCTGCCCAACAAGATAGAAATGTGCGCTAGCTTTATTTGCATGCCCAAACAGAAATATCAGCGGGCGCATCAATGTTGGTCAGCATGTGGGCTTCCAGCCAAGAAAAAAAGAATAAAAAATAGATTTTGGGCCCACAAAAAATATGAGTCCAGGCAATATTGAAACTGGAATTCTACCCCAAATTTGAGATTTCTCAAATTTCCACCCCTCAAAATACATGGGTTGGAGAAGTTTTTTGGACTCAAAACTCAAAATTTAAGTTTTCACCCCTTGGGTTGGAGATGGTCTTAGAGAGGTGGTTTAACAAGTAGTCTATAAATGTGGTATGCCTAGCATTTTTATTGTTGTTGTTGTTGTTGTTGTGGATTTATCCATTTGACTAGTGGCCATGTAAGCAAGTTTTCTTATGATTTATCCAACCTGGGCATCAATCTTCATCATTTAAGATCTAAATTCTATAATTTAAGAATTTTATGTAATTTTCAATGCCCTCATTTTAAGTTATTTTTCAAATAAGGACCAAAATGCAAATTAGGTAGAAACTAAAAAATCATTGTTTTTTTTTTCCTTTTCCACAAGCTATAGTCTAAACCACAAAGGAGGGAGGTTTCTCACACACACAACTAATGTCATGGGGTTTGAACATGAGACCTTAGTCTGCAAGCCAAGTCTTTTTTTCTTACTGTGACCCTGTTGGCAACTATTGCTCCTAAAAAAAACTTGCTTTTTAAAAAAAAATTTGGGAAAAAAACACCCAAAAAATGTTTTCCCGATAAAAAAGAATAAGCACAAAAAAACCCATGAATAGGCGATTTTGTTTTTGGTCAATATGAATAGGCGATCTGGTCGTTCACTTTGTGCAGTGAAAAAGAAGAGGATCAGTTCAATCGCGCTCTGTTAATCCTAACGGTCAATCGAGAGATATGCCTTCAGTGGAAGAAGGATCTTTAGCTCCAAAGCGTAGATTATCGTGTTCCACCTGCTTTGACGCTCTCTGGTTTTGCTATTGTAAGCTTCCTCTTTGCCTTCTCTCTCTCTCTCTCTCTCTCTCCCCCCTTTCTGTTGTTAAATATCACATAAGCTGTTCCCATGCCATTTCTGTTGACACAATAGTTTCGCAATTACATGTGGTTCGATTCCAGTCTCTTTTTATTCAATTTTAATTTAAAGGTTACATGGGTTTTGGGTAATTGTTCATGAATCTAATGTACAACATGGTAGATTTAAATCCGGGTTTTATTGAATTTATGGAGAAGATGTTATTTAATAGTTGCTAAAACAAAAACAAAAAAAAACAAAAAGCTTGGTAATTTGTTCATTTTGGTTACTGCCCACTTAACAAGCTTCAAACTTGACAGTCACTAGCTTCTGAAATCAGTTATTGGTGGGTTTTCTTTTGTAATTAAATTTTCTTGATGATTCTTTGGTAGTTTTCAGTGACTGTTTCTTTTTCATGTTAGACTGCTTTACGCTCAGTTGTTTCTATATATGGTCATCTTTAAATCTTGTTGATAGCTGTTCGTGATCATTGCACACAGCGATATAGTTTCACTATAAATGTCAATTATTTTAATTTTTTTTTTCTGGATGTTTCCTACCTCACTCATTCTATTTTGTGATTGCTTTGCCTGTTTATTTCTATTTCTTGCTTTTAATCTGATGCGCACTCATGTTCTGGCAGCTCCAGTGCATCAGATGCAGCAGTATTATAGACTTGGGGTACTTGATAACTGTTCCGGGAAATGGAATTCTCTTGTTGATTGTTTGAGTTTGAAGACAAAACGGTCATCTGAAGTGCAGGTTTGATTTTTTGTTTGGTTATATATTTCCACCCTCTGTATGGGTTAATGGATTTCTCTTCAATTAATACGTATTGATGATTAGAGCCCTGCACCTGTCAATTATTTCTTTGGTTTTTAATACTGTCTTTTCCTTGATGATTGTACAAAATGTGCTTGGATATTCCTTCGGCTAATAAGTCACATTGCTTTATCGTTTTTCCCCTAATTTAAGGCCTATATGGAGAAATTGGTGTCTCCCAACATGAAAAGTACTTAGGACTGATGGTGTGACTTCCTGAATAGAAGATCCCATTTACTGCCACAACAAATTACAAGATGGAGTAGCAGGACATAAATACAAGTATATTGTTGAAACTGATGTCAGTTTATTGCCTAAATCATCTTTACGCATTCAGTTCTGGCTTCGTTTGTATGCCACTGCAGTATTTTTAATCAACCATCTACCTAGCAGATCAGTGCTGCTAAAATCTTCATGCAAGAATCTCTTGATCATTCCAGATTGTAGCTTTCAAGGATTTCTGGATGTGCTTGCTGTCCTCATATCAAACATTACAATCAGCATAAATTACAATATAAAGCTAAGCAATGTGTACTTCTAGCATACACATTGGATTGCGAAGGATTTATTTGTCTAAATGATGGGTGTCGCCTATGATTATGGTGGACTAGATAAGAGAGATTTTTTAACTCGAAAAGATCTGGGGAAAGAAATTTTATGGTTGATTTAAGTTTAGAGAAATTCAAGAAATAGAGAATAATAGGGAGGAGAAGATATCAAGGCACCAAGCCTTCAACGTGAGATAATTTTCATTCATCCAAATCGAATTTGCTTTGGAAGAAATAGCCTTAGTTATAGGCTTCATGAAAAAGTTGGTTATGCTACGAGGAGACATTCAATCCAAGAGACGGTAAATCAACAACTAGGTTTCTAGTTCACTGTTTCATTTTCTCACCAAACCAATTGAAATTTACCCTCAGTTTGTTCAGAACGGAAGGATTTGGGTGTTGTGTTCATTTCCAGTACTATTGTTTAGGGAAGGAAATGTGAATTGGGTAATTCAAGCTGGTTTTAATTCTGTTTATTGAAAGGCATAAGCTGTTTGGTTGTAGGGGAGGTGGTGCTCTATGTTAGATTTTTGTCATTCAGCGTCTTCTGAATTTGGGGATGCATCTTCTTTGGCTATCTTCACTGATTGAAAGAAGCTGTTCTTTGATACTTAATACCAAGTTTAGTGTTGAGGTCCTGGTTTTGGAAGAATTGTATTGTTCTGTAGTCTAGCTTTCATTGTTGTAATTGGTCTGCATAGTTCGCACTGTTGATTGATTTACTTTCCTTACCAATAAGAAGGAAAATACATTTCGAGCATGGATCAACTAGTTGATATGTTCACCAAGCCTATGTCCTCTACTAATTTATTTTACATTGAAGCAAACTGATGGTGACTCTCCTCCATCTGTTTGAGGATGCACATAAAGTTAGCAGCTTGCTGTGGCTCTATAGCAGTAATAGCTGCTTCAGCTGATTGCTGTTAATGTAGAATATGCAAAGCCTTTAAATCGTCAGCTAGTTCCATGGATCTGTTAGTTTCGGTTGAGTGAGATAATTTTTATGTGGGCTTGCTATAACTATAAAGAACACAAGTTTATGAGCTGTAATTTTAAGCCTCTGTAGTGTCATAATTCATTATGGAATTCAGAAATCGAAAGTCTCATTTTACTTTCAGTTTCATCTTGTCTGTGTTTTTGCCTCAATTTTCTCAAGTTCTTGACACACCAGTTATATAGTTGCTGAACAGACTTAACAAAAGGGATTAGTTGCTATACTGGCTTATTCCTAACACCCACCCACATAATATTAATATTATTACATATCTGTACATATTATTTAAATGTTTGGCATATACGTAAAAATATTGGAAGAGCCACCCTTCTATTTGTTCCTTGTGAATTCTGATGTATTTGAGTGTTGGAAGTGTTTTTTTATTGGACTTTGATCATTCTTGTCACATGATCTTTCAATTGGTGCTTACAAGTGTGCAAGGAAACTGTGGCTTCTTATATTGTCCATTTCACTCTTTCGCCTCTTCATGTATAAGATGGCAATGTAGGAAAAGCCATCCTTTCAGTTTGTGCTTTATAATACACCTGACTTTGACCTAAAGCTAATACTCGCCATGTTATGATTCGGTTTTCAATAAGTTGTCTTTTTTCTTTTTCTTTTTCCCCTTTCCTTTCCCTAAGAGCTTCTTTTTTGGTGATTGTCAATAACTACTTGTGACAAAATTAACAGCTATGTGGCACTTAGGAATATGGCTTGAATTCAGTTTGGCTTGTGATATACATGATTCTTCAAGGTAAAAACAAACTAGACCTTCTTAATGCAGGAAATTTTGGAAACTCGGGAAAAAGCGAAGCCTCACATCTGGACTTTTCGGACTCCCGAAGAAGCATCAGTTCACTGGAAAGAACAATTTGGACATTTAGATGAAATGGAATGATGGAGATTAAGTTCAGCATCCTTCTGTGCTCCTCCTTTGTAATTTTTGCCCCACATCTGGTGAACCCAAAAAATAGACTTCGATTTATAGTGGTACTGAACCCACTTGATTTAAAACAGGGGCAGAGAGTAACAGAGTGAGATCTGCAATACAATATTCTTTGCTTGGTAATTTTGTTTTTCTTTTTGTGCTGTGGCATAAGAGTATCTCCAACCGATATGTCAAAAGTGCCACATAGACATTTAACGGCTAGAAATAACATTTCACATCACTCCAACCGATGTGTCAAAGTTGATGTGGAATGAAGGCTGGAGGTTGAGATGTTATTTTTGACATCCCAAAAGTAAGATGTCAAATGAATATTTTATTATTTTTAAAGATGGTTGTTACTTTCATTTATTATTTTCCTTTTTATATATTATTTTTCTTTATCTTAAATGATTTAACTGTTACAATAATTATTTATTTGACATATCGGGTGGAGTGTAAAACTGTGTAAATGTCAAATTGCCACATCAACCATCAAATTTAAATTTGATGTTTGGTATTTGACATCTCCCTTGGAGATGCTCTAAGAGGCCATGTCTTTAATTTCAAAATGAAATTCACAGCAGTCTGGAAAGAAGATCAACTGAAAATTGTAACCGCAATCACTGCAATTTATCTTTCTAATATGAAGGGCCTTTTTTATATATAAATTTTTGTGTGGTCAATGATCTGAAATGTTGATTTGAATACAACAGATAGTCTAAACTAAAAGGACGAGAGTTTCTCACACACAGTACAAGAGTGTCATGGGAGTTTGAATCTGAAGGGTTGATTTGATATATGAAAAATACTAGGCTAACCGCATTTTTATACCACATTGTGTACCATCTCTATGTACACAATGTGGTATAAAAATGTGGTCAGCAACAAAAACAATTCCTGAGTAATATATCAAGGTTAATGCCATCCCCCACACCACATGTATATTCGTTACTTTCACGAGACATGGTACTATATATTTTTTTACAAAAAATTGTTGGAAAAAAATAATATTTAAAATTGGAAGAAAATTATTAGGGCTTTTGTACATATCTTTCTCACGAGACACGGAACATATGAGAGCTTGCTTGTGTTGAATAAAAAAAGTGGACTTAAAACCTCATACTTTTTTTTTGTTACATTGGAGGAAAAAAAATCCCACTGTGATTCGATCCTAAGGCCCCGTTTGGTTAATGGGAAAAGAGACTTGGGGATGGGAAATCAATTACTTTATCATGTTTGGTAAGTCTAGGCATGAGAAATCGTTGTTTGTCCCATGGGAAAGTAAGGGGAAAGTGAAGCCATCCTCCCAACTTGAGTTTTGTTTTCCCTCCTCATGGGAAAGTTTGGGGAAATGAACCAATAATAAATACACATTTTTCATGACCATTTTGTCCCCATAAACAATATAAAATTACAATATATCATTAAATGCATTCTTTTTTTTTTTAATATGGGTATAATTGAAATTTTTTACAAACTTTGTTTTCCATTCATATTCAAAACAAACATGGGAAAGGAAATAAAATGCTATCTCCTGGTTACTTTCCCATCATTACCAAACATGGGAAATGAATCTTCCATTTCTCATCCCTTGGGAAATGACATGAGAAATAATTTCCCCTCAAATTCATTATGTGAACCAAACAGGGCCTAAATGTCATGGGGAGGGAGAATCCACCACCACTATGGTGGGAACCCATTGGCTGAAACCCCCTACCTTCACCTTCAAGTTTTAAGCACTAAGAAACCGAAACCGAATATTCATTATCTCCCTAAAAAACCGAAACCGAATATTCCAACTTTGTGGTTCAGCGTCGGTACCAAGACTTCCTCCATCCAAAGCTATCGGTTCGGATAGCTGCTCGGCTATACTCTGTTGTTTTTAAAAAAATAATATAGTAGCGCGGCTATTCTTCTAGTGTTTGTTTTTTTAAAAGTAAAGCCTCACGGCTATACTCGGTTTTATTTAATTTTTTTTTAAAAATAGTATAGCCTTGCGGCTATAATACGGTTTTTGGGAAAAAAAAAATTTAGTATAGCCGATCAGCTATACTGTTTTTGACCCGTGGGCTAATCGCTAGGCTGATCCTTTCTTTTCTATTTATTTTTATTTTTTATGAATAGTAAAGTCGCGCCTATGCTCAATTTTTTTTAATTTTCTTGTAAAAACTAGTATCGCCGTGCGGCTATACTATAGGTTCGGATATACTCTGTTGTTTTTAAAAAAAATAATATACTAGCGCGGCTATTCTTCCAGTGTTTGTTTTTTTTTTAAAGTAAAGCCTCACGGCTATACTCGGTTTTATTTAATTTTTTAAAAAAATAGTATAGCCTTGCGGCTACAATACGGTTTTTGGGAAAAAAAAAATTTAGTATAGCCGATCAGCTATACTGTTTTTGACCCGTGGGCTAATCGCTAGGCTGATCCTTCCTTTTTTATTTATTTTTATTTTTATGAATAGTAAAGTCGTGCCAATGCTCAATTTTTTTTAATTTTCTTGTAAAAACTAGTATAGCCGTGCGGCTATACTTTTTTGACATGTGGACTCCAAATCGCTAGGCAGGTGCCTTAGCGCTAGCCAGGTAATCTTTTTATTATTATTATTATTATTTATAAATAGTATAGGTTCAGATATACTCTGTTGTTTTTAAAAAAATAATATAGTAGCGCGGCTATTCTTCCAGTGTTTGTTTTTTTTTAAGTAAACCCTCACGGCTATACTCGGTTTTATTTAATTTTTTTAAAAAATAGTATAGCCTTGCGGCGATAATACGGTTTTTGGGAAAAAAAAATTTAGTATAGTCGATCAGCTATACTGTTTTTGACCCGTGGGCTAATCGCTAGGCTGATCCTTCCTTATTTATTTATTTTTATTTTTTATGAATAGTAAAGTCGTGCCTATGCTCAATTTTTTTTTAATTTTCTTGTAAAAACTATTTGACACGTGGACTCCAAATCGCTAGGCAGGTGCCTTAGCGCTAGCCAGGTAATCTTTTTATTATTATTATTATTATTTATAAATAGTATAGTCGTGCGTAGTAGGGGTGGTTGCGGTTTGGTAACCGCGAATTTTTGCCCAAACTGCAAACCGACCGACTATTTGCGGTATGGTGATTTTTGAAAACGCAAACTGACTGCATTTTGCGATTTACCGCGAGGTAAACCGTAAAAAGAGGTCGGTTACATAGCGCTAGCCAGGTAATCTTTTTATTATTATTATTATTATTTATAAATAGTATAGTCGTGCGTAGTAGGGGTGGTTGCGGTTTGGTAACCGCGAATTTTTGCCCAAACTGCAAACCGACCGACTATTTGCGGTATGGTGATTTTTGAAAACGCAAACTGACTGCATTTTGCGATTTACCGCGAGGTAAACCGTAAAAAGAGGTCGGTTACAGTGAATTAGTGGTTTAAAACCGCAAGTTCTTTTTGTGTCATAAAAATCCAATCTTCCACATTTTAGGCCTAATTTTGATGCTTCTTTTGAAGCCTTTTGATTTCAAGCATACTTTAACCCAAAAATATAAATTCACAACCTCAACTTCTCAAGCATATATAAATTAATAATCTCCTCAACTTCTCAAGCATTCACAACCTAAAGAAAATTAAAGTTACAATTCCAAACATTCCAATTAAAGTTAAACTTCTTAAGCATTCCAATTCCAAATCTTTTAAAGTTACAAATCAAAAGGAAAATACAATGCAAAATGAATTAAAGTTACAACCCAAAGGAAAAATCCAATTTAAAGTTAATTAAAGTTACAAACTAAAAGGAAAATGCAATGCACCAATGTTACAAACTTAAGTGTTGGTGGTGGTAAGTGGATTTGAAGGACCCCGTTGTGTTGTTTGAGCATCAATGCTATCTACAAAATGTGATTTTTTTTTAAAAGAAAAAAAATATAGTCGTGGTTTGCGGTAACCTCAAGTTTTGAAAATCAAATACTGTAACCGCAACCGAAACCGCAACTGCAAATGTGGTTCGGTTCTTCAAACCGCAAATGCGGTTCGGTTTCCTGCGATTGCGGTTCCATTGCGATAAATTGTCAGTTATTTTTTGCAGTTTTTCGGTCTAAAATGCCACCAGTCGTGCGGATATACTAGGTTTTTTATAACTGTTTTTAAAAAAAATACTATAGCATG